CCTCTGGCTGATTCTACCTTTCGCGCGGGCGGTCCAGCGGCTTGCATACTGTAGACAGTGATAGCCAAGGGGGGCTGCGGTCACCATTTCTCTGGCCGCGGGGGCATGGACCGTGGGACAGCAGCCGGCTGCGGGTGGTGCTTCAGCGCGAGGCAAAGACACACCTCCAGACCAAGCTCAATGTAATCACTTGGCGGCATGCCGCCATTGCCATCTCGCGTATGCACCTGTCCTGTGGAGGGTTCAAGCGGGAATATGGGGCAGATGATACGGCAGTAGACCAGCAGGCAGGCCATGGATCCTGGGCTGCAGGTACAGTATATGCGCGGGGGCTGCAGGAGGCACCAGGCCACATTGAGGCACGGCGTGTGCGGTACCAGGCTGTCAGCCGGGAGTGGCATGAATTCCTGGGGTTTAACCCAGGGGTGCGAAAGCGGGCACGGAACATGGAAAAGAGCGTTAGCAGAAAGGCTCAAAAACAGCAGCCATCATATGTAACAGTAGAAATAGATGACAACATAGAGCTATAAATGATTAAAGATATATATTTTTCTCATGCAATTCATTATGACCAGATTTCCAACTTCAGCAGCTAGCTGTCATCTTTATAAATTTCAATACAAATCAGCGTTTCACCTCCGTTATAAAATGTATAATATTATATTTTCATAGACAACTCATCACAACCAGACCTTAAACTTCAGTAGCCAGTTATATTATATATAAAGAGTATGATATTTAATTTCAAGTCATAATTTCATCAGAAAATCATATTATTACAACATTAAAGTAGATAAGTTGTTTTGCAGAGTTATCAATATTAAATATATATATTTCCCCCTTGGGCAACTACCATCATCAAAACTGTCACAGATCAGCGAAATAACAATCAGACAGAAATTAACATCATACATTTTAAGTATTGATCTGCAATTGCTTAGAAGCATTACAAACTTAAATTTAGAGCAAATTATCATTGTCGAGTGAAGTGTGTTTACCTTCATTTTCAAAGGAAATTATTATATCTATTATAAATTATATCTAACTTCAAGGAATAACACTTATCCAACTGGGTGGGGGGGTGGGAATTGGGAAC